AACGAATAACTATAAGATGAATAAGCTGGAAAGTAGAAGCAGATCTGCTTTAGTGATCAGCCACCCATTCCTATTTGGTTACAACTGACAATTACCCCGTTCAAAGCATCTGAAATTGAAAGCTTCGTGGGGAACAATATTGTCATATCTGATGTTTCTTTTATTTACTTTTCAGAATAATGATCGTCGAAGTAGAAGATTGGAAAGTGGATGATCCATGTATTAAGATACAGCTGAATAGTACGCCTACATGTTATAAGGTACATCAACTAGTCCCGGGCAATTAGAGAGAATATTTCGGCAAAACAATCTTGTATTCATGTGTACTGCGGCTATACCAACATCGTAATTATTAGATTGAGACTCTGATTTCAGTTGACTGGAAGGAGTTAAGAAGAATTTCTTCTAGCGCTATGGATCTCGAAAGTTGTTACAAGTAACTGGTTCTATACCATTTTTTATTTCCAGGCTTTTCAAAAGAAAACCTCCAACGCCCTCTCATGCGAGTTGAGTTCATTGAAAGGATAACAAGAGGTTTTTCTAATGTTAGCACTATCAAATCCCTCCCACTCATTCACTCTATTCAGACGATCATCCGTGGTATTAATACTTACTCATCAGAATCGAAGCTTTGAAGTAGATTCTGTCCTAATTTACAAGTGGTTTTATGCTGATTGCCTCACTCATTATAATTCTTGATCATACCTCGAGGAGGTGTTATCAAAATTGCATTTTTTTCCAAGTTAATAAGTTTTGGTTAGCATGTCCAAAGCTGTTAACCTCAACCACAGTTAACAGTCTGCTCTACCTTAACATGGGAAGCATGTCAGTTTCCCTCGATGGCCCCTTCTCTTCTCCTATCAATCACCAATTTTTTGTTATTTCGTTTGAGGAAAGCCAGAAAGTCTTAACTATACTTATGTTGAACATCACATAAAACACACAGAATAGATACTGGAGGATCAACTTATCACATCTTATGATTCACATGAAACGCTTTCTCTTTCTTTCCTTCCGCTTTTGCTCTTCCTCATCTCTCCTAGTCATAATGACATTGATAACTGTTTAATCCATTTTTTACATTCTCCATCTAACTGTTCATGTTCATACATATAGACACAACATGTTACCCAATCACTCTCCACCAAAAAACAAT